CAAAACTTATAAACATTAATTATGACAGTGACTTTGACCTATATGAAGAAGAAAGTGAGTCAGAAGATTATGAGCTGTTATGTGAAGCACAGCAATGGGAGGAGTTGCAATACTTTTGTAAGTGAGAACATTAATGGGAACGTTAGTGAGAACGTTTATTTTTTACATTAGTGAGGTGAAGAGGTTGGCGGCTTTGTAAATATTTAAGGTTAAATTAGTGTTATCGTTTGTGTTGTAAAATATACGTTAACGGTTTTGTAAAGTGTCAAACCGTTATTTTGGGTAAGGTGGAACGCAGTGCCACCATAACCAAGATAGGTATACTAACTGGCAAAAACTTTTCTAAGCTTGGCCACAGGCGCTCCACCTTGCCGTTCTGTCTTGGCATATACGGCAAGGTGTGCTTCCAAACTATTCCGTTTTCCTGCATAACCTGGCCGAATTCACCGCGGTTTTCACCGCCGTTATCGGTCCAGATGCAGTAAGGAATAAACTCCTCTAAAAGTTTTCTTAAAACCTTCGCTGTTGAGTTGGAAGACTTGTTTTTCAATAATTTAGTTTTGAGAACTTTACGTGTCATATCATCCAATATGGCAAAAAATGGAAAAGAAACATTACCGTGAAGGTAATGAATATCGCAGTGCCATATCAAATTCTTTGATATGGCACGATATTTGGTAGGTGGATCTGCTGGTTTGTAATCTCTTTTTGAAGATAAACCTGATTCCATCATAAATTTCCCCACTTGATGATGCTTTATTTTTTGTAAATTGTCAAAAATTTGATCTTTTGTCAAATCTTCTATATTTTCAAATTCTTTTGCAATTTCTTCTTTTTCTTTCTCACAATCGGGATTTTGAGCAATATTTTGAAACCTTTTAATCAATAAATAAGTTTTTGAAATTCCTCCTTTATATTGTGAAACACAAGAATTAATTAATTGTTTTTGCTCAAATGTTGGTGGATTTGGTTTTCTGCCGCGACTAACTTTTGGTAATTCGATTTCTTGAAGTTGAAATGCTCTTCTTATTGTATTTTCGGCAACATTCAATTTAATTTTACCATTTTCCAATTCAACTTCCTTTCCCACACTTTTGTAAGATTCACCTTCTTCTATTCTTCTTTTAGCTTCAAATAGCCATTCTCTGCTTATAGATTTGGCAGTAGTCATAAAAGTGGTCCTTCTTTTGTGATAAGATTCAAATTTGAATGTGGATGATAAATAAAAATCAAAAATAATTGTTATAATTTAAATGAAGAAGTAATTTAAAACGATTTTATTTATGATCAAATTTTATATATTTTTTTGGATCAAATCCATTTTAATAGAATTTATATACTATTCATCTATTAGTAAACACTACCGTATATTATTTTTAAGCTATCTTATTTTTTGAACTTTTATTCAAATCTTTGGTCGCAAGAAGAATTGCATGATAAATAAAAACATTTAATCAAAGTCAATTTTATTTTTCATATTCAAATGGACTGAGTGTTAACATTTAACATTTTTTGCTAATTGTCGTCAAAAATTAGGCGTAAAGCAAAAATTGATATTTCATATGGTTTTATGATAGATAAGCATTATATTCCCACTCATTATATTCGTAAATTTTGAGGTTTATCCTTCGCTTTTAAGATCATTGAATTTGATTTTTATATAAAATAGTTATATATTAGAAAATAATATGAGTTTATGTGATATTATTTTTCAGAAGATTTTGTGTTCTTCTTCAAAATTTTATTTTTTATTAAAAAGAATCTTTACAAAATATACATTTACTTTAATTAATATTTAAAAACGTGCTCTATCAAAAGTTCCAAAAATTCAATATTTTAGCTTTTCTGAGGTGTCACTTTTGATGAATTTCTGTTTACAACAATTTTAAAATTTTAATAAAAAGAATCAAAGCCTAAAAAACGTTCATGTAATGCGTCAATAATCAAAAAGGTAAACAAATAGAATTTTCAATATTAATCTGTAACAAAATGGTCAAATTGTGAATCATTTAAGGTATGATGGAACACCAATGAGTCATTAGATCAATGTGATACATTAGAAGTTTGTGCGGAAAGTCTGGTTAAGAAAAGATGAAAATATGAAATGATAATGAAATATTTCTCTCAATTTTTCATACACCTTTTGTCTATCGTTTGCGACATGGTGCTTCACGCCGCTAATTATATTTTGAGATCAACTTTGGTTGTTTGTTCGTCAAAGTTATTTCAACAAATTTCGATTTGCAATCATATATAACGTAATATTCTTCTACATAAAAGATCGAGCGCGCCGATAGATGAATGAAAAAAGATCTTGTAATTATCTTAATGATGTCTCATGTCCCTTGAAATAATAGAATTATATATTTTGCTATTATTCATATGATTTTAACAATACTATCAGAAAAATTATTAAAGTGTAACAATTTCTTATAGGTTCTTCTTGTCCTAGAGATTAATTTTAACATGTCTTGTATGTTTTCAAAGAAATAAGGGAAAATTTTAAAAATTTTATATCGGATCCGCTTGCTCTCTGAGTCATTTTTTCAAATGTTATTATCATTAATTGTATTGTCTCAAGAGAATCAAACAATGGATTATTATAGTCAGCTTGATGCTATTCTTTCAAGTGAACCAGTAACTATTACGAACTTGAGAAATAATACGGATTTGAAAATCAAGTGTAATTCATCACAATATTATAAATTAGATGCATCTACAGTTAAAGATGCGTATATAAATACTGATTGCTTTTGCGTTGTCAATATAACTGCCAAAAATAAGAAAATTGAAGTTGATGGACCCGCTCAAGTTTACATAACTGGAGACAACAATACAATTTATAATGATTTCAACATTAAAAAGCATCTTTCGCACCCTCTTATTATCATTATTGGTCTTAAAAATGAATTGAAGGTTAATTTGGAAGGAATTTCCTCTGTACCATATAAAGTTGTTACAGCACTTGTGAAAGATCCTGAATTCATAACATCAATTCAAAGTATTACCAATTTCATTTTCATAACAACATATAATTCAAATTATATAGGGTGTCCAAAGGTGCGTTTAGCACAGCGCTCTATATGAGACTATTAAAGGAGATATATGCTGATTATAAATATATAATAAAAAATATGAATATATGTATATGATGAGTATGTTGTATTTTGGCGCCATGCCGGGATATAAAATGAATTTTGAGACAAGAGGCGGTTTCGTGGGAAATTTTGGCGGGATTTTTTCATTTTTTTAATGAATCATAAAGAAAACATCCTCGCTCTTGCAAAAAAATGCAAAGGCTGTAAAAAAATCTACGAGACATTGGTAAAATGCTTCGGTATGGATGCTCCTAGCTATTCCACTGTAACGTATCATGTTAGGATGTATCACTTCATGAACAAAAAGGCGCCCATCATAAAAATTGACAAAAAATCGCCGGATCAAAGAAAAATCAAAGCAATTCTTCAAGCGCTAGATGAAGACCCAAGAGCATCACTCAGAAGGATAGAGGAGATGACAAAGATACCACGTACAACAGTCAGTTATTATCTGCACAATTATTTGAACTACAAACTAGCGTATACACGTTGGGTTCCGCACAACCTTAATTCAGTTCAAAAAAAATCTAGAGTCCAATCTTCGAAAGAGCTCCTCTCTATATTGGGTGCGTATCAATCCAAGAAGTTTCGCTTTTTAGTAACAGGGGACGAGTCTTGGTTTCAATATGCAACAGAAGCCAAAATCATGTGGATCCCGAAGGATGAAAATCCGCAAACATTCCCGAAGAAAAAAATTGACACACCAATGATGATGTTGTCGGTTTTTTGGGGCGTGAATGGCATCATCGCAATTGATATTCTTCAAAAACCTAATACGATGAATGCTCAGTATCTAATTGACAATGTTCTTACTCAAATTATCAATTCTGATGAGTTTGAGAAATCCAAACAACAAAAACAAAAGTTTGCAATTCATTTTGATAATTCAAGAGTTCACAAAAGTCATAAGGTAATGAATTACTTGGTGGAAAACAATGTCAAAGTTGTTCCAAACCCAATTTATTCACCTGATATTGCACCCTCTGACTTTTATTTATTCGGCACGCTAAAAAAGAGAGCTGAAGGACGCGAATTCGCGAGTCCAGATGATCTTGAAAATTTTGTAAGAGAGCAATTTGAGCAATTTTCTCATGATGATTTAAAGCGTGTCTTTCAAGCCTGGATCGATCGCTGCGAACGCGTGATTGAATCCAATGGTGATTATATTTAAATAAACTTTATATATATGTAACTTGTTTATTTCTATTCGCAGTATTCAGGTTTGTGCTAAACACACCTTTGGACACCCTATATTTGCAATATTGGTCCATTTAATCAAGTCAATATTAGTAAATTGTATTCATCATATGGATTTAGTAATCCACCATACTATACCTATTACTATGATGTTCCAATAGAAGATGTTACACTACCCATTGAAATGAAAATATTCTTGGGTGTAATTTATGGTGGCCCATTTTTAATTGCTACAATTTCATGTTTTATCATCTGTTGCTGTGAATGCTGTAAAGGTTGCTCTTGTTCATATTGTAACAAGAAAGATAATGCCGAAAGGGATTTACCAGATCTTTAATTTAATGTAAATCTTTTATTGTTATAAATTTTTATACCCTGAGATATTCAAATGTGTCTAATTAATATGTTATACGTGTGTGACAAGACAAATGTTCACGTCTTGTATTTGTTTCATCAGATGTGTATAATTAATATTTTATATGTAAATAAATCTATGAAGAGAAAGAATATTAAATTTTGAATTCATTTTCAACATTAAGCATGGTATTAGTATCAAATAATAACAACTAGGAAATAAAAACAGTTTATTAACATAATAATGATAATTATTAAGAATAATTTGCATTAATGTAAAATTAACGCAAAATTAATGAGATTTCTTAGATTAACAAACTCAAATAAGTTTGTATTCGTACATATAAGAAATTAAGAGCGCAAATCATCAAATGGATTCTTAATTGCCTGGAAAATTGAATTTGAATTTGAAGATGAGGTAGAATTTTGTTCTGGCATGTTAACTATATTACTTTGCGAAAGCACTTCTATTTGGTTTCTGATTTGCGAAAAACTAGTCGTCATTTGAGAATATAATTCTGATATTTGTTGAGATGTTTGATTTATTGTATTTCCATATTGTGTAAATCCATGTGATATTCTGTTTAACATGAATTTTGAAAATTTCTGCTTTTCTACAAGTAATTTTTGAGTTGAAGCTCTTAACTTTTCTAAAGCATCAATCCGAGCAGTCTTTGCTTGCTTATATTTATATTCGGCATATTCTAACTGCTTTCCTGTTGATTTTTTATTGTATTCCATTTGCAAAAGATGTTTTGCATTTTCAAAATCAAGTTTGGATTGTTTATATGCATCAGCTGCTGATTTCTGCTCTTGTTCTAATCTAGTTATTACTCTTTTCCTGATAATTATATCATTTAAATCTTCTGCAAGTCGAATTTCTGAAGTTAGTTCTGATTCTTCTAATTTAACAACTTTCTGGAGTGGATCTATTGCAAATGAAATATCTTTTTCGAAGGTTGGTGCTTCTTTTCGAACAAATTTTATTATATTAATAGACATTGATAATTCTGCGTCCATTAACGACTTCCTTGCTGCAGTAGATTGATCCAATCCATCTACTACTTTATCTAGATTATTCAGTTTCGTTTTATCATCTTGCATCGAATTTTTGAAAAAAAAATTCTCCGAATTCAATTTGTTGTAAATCTCAATTTCTGTCGATTCGATTTCAATTTAATTTAAATTGGTCGTGTTAATTCTTATGTAGATATGAAATATCAAGTTTCAAATTTCAAAATTTCTAAAAAAAATTGTGATATTTACATTTGTAAAATGTCAATAAATTTTGTAAAGTTCAAATGCTAACAGAAATTGATAGAAATATGACGTTTACAAATGTCGAATTTTCACTCAACTTATCAAATTTATTCGTATGATGCATGTTTATTAATTCTATTGTTAATTATACGTTAAACTCAAATAATTAAAATATATTATTAAATTTATTCAATGAAATAAACGAATTTTTTAAATTTATTAAAAATCAAGGGAATTCAACTTCAATATTTATATATTATACTTTTTAATTGATTTTATACGAACAGTTTCAACCATTTCCTTCAAATACTCTCAGATCGGTCTGTAACGCAAAAATTCATTTAGCAAATTTTTTGATCTAATTGTCACTTTTCCGGCAAGAAAAATGAGTTCCCCACCGAAAAGTCCTTTCACGCTTATGATTGAACGTGCCACTCGTCGTTTAGAGATGTTCTTCAGGCGTAGTGAGGAACGTGATGCTGCATTATTTGTAGATCCAGGTTTAGATGAAGTTATTGTCAGAATTGTCAAACCTTGGACAATTCATAAGTGTTTTAAAAAGATTTTCACATACAATACAAACAAAACCAAGTTTGACTATGAAATAATCACTATTTTTACAACAGGAGAATCACATCATTTAAAAGAATATATTGACTCTTTAACAAACACTACAGCACCACCAAAAGAGATCATGATCATCTTCACTAACAGATTTACATACGTGGCTCGCCAATTTCTTGAGCAGCATGGCTTTCTACACAGATTTACTTATGAAGAGCTTCGTCTTCCGCTTTGGATCCTTGATCCCGATCTCGGAACAATTGAAATGAAGAATTCATTCCTAAATGTTGTTTCAGATGGAGGAAGACTTGCTGTAGAAGCCGCAACTGATGCAATGAAATCTATTCCAGTTTACGAGCACTTTTCTAACATCTTTTGCATTGGCAAAAATGCTATTGATGTGGGAAATAACTTGCCGCAGAACTTCCAGTCAGGCTGGTCTCATATTTTAATTTTTGATCGAAATGTCGATTTACTTTCCATATTTTTGTCAACATTTACATACGAAGCCATTGTTGCCGAGCAGGTGGGAATAGTTTACGGTATTGTCAGGCTTCAAAATGACGATACAGTTCTATTTTCATCAGATGACTCAATTTCATCGACAACAAGACTACTTACGATGCCGGAAGCTACGAGCCAGATCAAAGACCTATCAACTACTATCAAAGAAGAGTTCGAAAGCTTCAAAAAGTCAGAAGCAGATATTCATGGAAAATCTGCAATGATAAAAGAGCTTGCGAACAGAGTTGTCCTCGATAACAAGTCCATATCATTACATCTAGACCTTCTAGAAGCTTGTACGAACAAAGCTTTCGGAGAACCAGCATTTCATACCGTATTAAACACAGAACTCGATTTCTTACTTAACAAAGAAGCCAACCTTGATGCAGTTAATGAATGCATCGCTCTGGCCAATGATTGGAGGCTTCCTGTAAGACTTCTTGCGACATATTGCTTGACAACAAAAATTGTTCCGAAAATTGACGAAATCAGGCAGAATATTATAGACAAATTTGGTGTCGAAGCACTGGCGGCTCTGTGGACTCTGGAAGAAGCCGGAATCATCAAGGAAGGAAGGAAAAATAAATGGCCGCATACAAGGGACAAATTCAAGTTGTACGTTGAAGATGTTGAGACTGGACCGGGAATTGTATATTCCGGGTACTCCCCGCTCTTCCTGAGAATTTTGGAAAAAATTATGAAAAAGCAGTGGAGTGACGTCGACGTTACACTTGATGAGCTTGGAATTCCACACCAGGTGATGGGAAACAGGCAGCCAAACATCAAAAGAGCTCTCGTAGTCTTCGTTGGAGGCTCAATGTACGGTGAAATCGCAGCTCTTAGAAAGAATACTTCTCTTGGTGCAGCAATTGACATCATTACAACAGATTTGTTATCTGTTAACAAGATCCTTTCACAATTTGGAGGATCTGCTTAATATTATTTCAATTTTTTTTTATTTTGGCATTTTTTTGAGAAATGTCTCTCATATCGTTGTAAAAATTCTGTTTCTGTTTTGATTGTTTCTTCAATATGCTTTTTTTATTCAAAAAAATATATTGATTCAATATCAGACTCAAGAAGTTCATATGTTACTCAATTCATGTTTTTTCAATGATGTTAAATACGGTATTCGATATTAAGGAATATATATTTTTACAGTATTTTAGATTTTTTTTTTTTTTTGCAATTGACATAGCCAAATTCCATAGAAAGGCAACACAAGAATGACAACTACAGAAAGATTGTCATTCTTCTATCGATAAGAACATATTGAATTTGAAGAATGAGTAATTGCCAATTATAAATATAGTCAGAAGATTTATAAATGAAAAAAAAGCTTCTTATGTAGGAACATTATATTTTTGCATCATGTGAAAGAAGAATTTCAGCTGTTTCTTTGCTATTAAATGCTGATGCAATATGAAGAGCTGTTTTTCCATTTTTATCTTTTTCATTGACATTTATACCATGTGAAAGAAGAATTTCAGCTGTTTCTTTGCTATTAAATGCTGATGCAATATGAAGAGCTGTTTTTCCATTTTTATCTTTTTCATTGATATTTATACCATGTGAAAGAAGTAGTTCGGCTGTTTCTTTACTATTATTTTGTGCTGCATAATGAAGAGCGGTTTTTCCAAATCTATCTTTTTTATTGATATTTATACCATAAGAAAGAAGAAGCTCAGCTACCTCTTTATAATTACGCATTGCTGCACTATGCAGAGTGGTTTTTCCATCATAATCATGATCATTGATATCTCCGCCAATTGATAGGAAATATTCGCAAAGGGAAGGTACATAAAGCATTGCAGCATAGTAAAAACAATTGTTAAAATCATTAGTTTAATCAAAATAAACTAAAAGGGAATCAAGGTTATTGTAAATTCTACAATAATAAAAATCGATCTTTATATTGTACTCATTCATTAAGAACGTAACAAAATCAATGTTGTGTGAAATAATTGCATATTTCATGCAGTCATTATTTGGTGTTTGATATTTCAAGCATTCACTCATGATTTCGGGATTTCCTCCTAAAAATGAAAAATTTAAATATATTTCAGTTATTTCTGAGCCGAATTTCGTTCTTAATAACTTGAAACAATCAACTGCTCCATAATAACAACATAATTCAAGTAATGAATATTTGTGGGTAACACACGGATACAAAACGCTATAGAGCATTTGATTCTTATCAAATCCATCTCTTTCAGTGAATGAGATGAATCTTTCTTTGTCATTATACATAATTGCTCTGTAAATTGTATTTTCTGAAAGAGGATCTAGATAATCTGAATTCATCATTCCGGAAATATCTTTGTATTTGTCTAATTTAATTCCATATTCTTTATAAAACAGAAAGTTTGGAATAACCTCAACATTGTTGACATCTTCCACATGATATTCATCAAAAATGAGTTTGGCAAGAGATAAATATGACTTTGTATAGCGATTATTACATGGAATTATATTTAAAATGTCTCGTATAATTATTTGAGGATGAGATTTCTTTGAATCAATCAATTCTGTTTTGATCATTTTGTAAATCGAGTTTATATCTTTTTCATTTTCCGTTTTTAACTGATATAGCGCATTATATGAATCGATGTAGTATTTACAGATGCTTCGCAAATTGCTGTATTTATTATGGTGAGTGTCTTGATCAGTCATTAATAAAATTTATAAGTCAGAATTTTGAATATGTTCCTCCAAAGTTCTTTCCAATACATTGATAGGGAGGAAAACTGAGAAAGAAAAACAAGCATGTCATGAAGCTTTTTGTCAGAATGAAATAAATAAAGTTTAAAGATGTGTAGCGTGGATGTATATACTTGCAACAATTCTTTAGGTAAAAAAATCAAATTTGATATAATATAATTTCGGGCTTCAGTTGGCTAGGCTTGCGAAGGGCAAGCCCAGCCAACTTCAGCAAAATAAATATATTATGATTATAGGAAATGAGTTTATACAATTAAATTTGAATTTGTGCGATTAATATTATATTTCAAAGATTATTATGTAAAACATATGAGAGATTTTTATATCCATCGAAGTGGTTAAGAGAATACTTTGAGATTTTAGAGATTTTTCGAAAGAAATATTGAAAGCAAAGCATTTATTAAGAATTTGTTGTGAAATGAATACACTTCGATAAGATATTAGATCAGTTTGTTACTTGGCAAAATTAGAGCTGAAGTCATGTTCATAAATGAAGAAAATGTCTTAGCTATAGCAAACGGTTGTAATGTATTTGAAATATTAATAGTCTTATTGTAATCTGATATCAATGCGATCATAGATATTTTTTGTGAAAGTATTTCGGAAATTATGTAATTTGTAAGGATATTGAGGAGCTCTAAAGTAAAAGATTAATTAGGCATGTGATAACAAAGAACTTGTTATAGAGGAAAATCTAGAATTTTAGAATTTACAAAATTCATCTGTAACCAAATGGGCATATTGTGAGTCATTTAAGGTATGATGGAACACCAATGAGGCATTAGATCAATGTGATACATTAGAAGTTTGTGCGGAAAGTCTGGTTAAGAAAAGATGAAAATGTGAAATGATAATACAATATTTCTCTCAATTTTTCAAAAACTATTTGCATATTGTTTGGGAAGCGGCGCTTCACGCCGCTAATTATATTTTGAGATCAACTTTGGTTGTTTGTTCGGCAAACTTATTTCAACGAATTACGATTTGCAATCAGATGTAACGTAATGATATCAGATTGATTTTGACTTTTGATAATAAAAAATTATTAGATAATTTGAAAAGTTATTTTCTTCGCTATTTGATTGGCGCAAAGCGCCAATCAAATAGCTCAGATTAATAATATGATATTATTTTAAATATGATGAAAATTTTTGAGTGAAAACTATCAAAACTAAGTCTTAAAAAATAGATATTTAAAAATGGTTTTTGATTGTTACACTACTTGTGAAAAAATGTCGATTAATCTTCTATATATATATATCATCTATCGGCGCGCTCCGCGCGCCGATAGATGAATGACAAGGCTGTCATGCACCAGTGTGTTATAACAGATCGATTTTATTTGAAATTTCATAAATTAATAATTATAATAAATTTGATATTCAGAGACGGCGCTACGCGCCTTTTAGCATTCTGGGCACTTACGTGCTCAGAATGCAAGATTGAGAAATTTGAAACTTCGTTTCAAATTTCTGCCATGCTGTTATGGAAAAAGAAAGTCAGTACAAAGAAAATTTTTGAAATTGAGAATAAAAATAATATCGTGATTTTTTGTGATATATGGATTTTTTAGAAGATTTTAGAGATTGAAGTCTCAATTTATAAAAATTTTTTAAATTGAGAGGAATTTTAATGATATGATTTTATTTGATATTTGGATTTTTCAGAAGATTTTAGAGATGTCAGTCTCAATTTAAAAAAATTTACAAAAAATGATCGTAAAATAATCGTTTTTGTTCAAATCCTTTTCATTTCGGGAAATTGAAGTTAAATATCAAAGAGATGGTCTATGCTTATGTTAAATCAAATCATTAAAAAGTGTTTTGATGACTTTTTCTAACCGCAAATTGTCACTTTTTGATGTTTTAAAATTATTATATATCCTATATGCATATAAGATGCAAATTAATATTAAAACTCCAAAATCGATTTTTGAGAGAATCAAATTTATCACATCTCATCGTTGTTCCGAATTAATATTTTATTTGTAATGTACATATTATCACAATTATATTTATCATATTAAAATTCAAAAATAATTTTTGAGTTTCAGATCTCCCTAATTTCCTATATAAATATATGTTTATTTTTTAAAAAATAGAATGTCCAATTATTGATAAAAATCGATCCGCATTTCATGCTTTTAATTCTATATATATAACCCATCTATGTAAACCTCGATGTCACTTTTGCTAAAAAATAAGTTCGTTTTTTTGTCAAGTAACTTGATCATGAACAATTCCGGTGATAATGCTCAAAACCGGTCGGAACTTGATCAGTACTTAGATGAAGCAGAAGATGTTCATGGCGGCACTTCATTAATGGTGCAATCATTACTTGATGAAAACGCTTCATCAGATAAATATTCAAGGTTACAGTACCAATTAGCAAATAAAGGTGTTGAAGCATTACAAAATGCTGCTGCAACTAAGATCCAAAAGACTTTTCGTATGTATGTAATACATAAAAAGTATCGAAACATTTATGAATCATTAATAAAGGCTAAACGAAATCTAACACGAGCATATTTCAACGTTTTATACTTAAATACGAACATGGGTTCCCAACAACGTCGTTCAGGTGCTTATAAACAGCTTGTACAAGAATTTAATTCGAGAAATAGCTTCCCTCGTAATTATAAATCAGTATCTGAGTTAACATTTCGTATTACAGGGCAAACATACATTCCTCGTGAGATTAATGAACAAAATTTAGTTTCATTTGTCAAATTTTTTTACGCAAAATTAATGAGAGATGTATTAATGGAGTGGAGGATTGCTCTTTCAAAGGAAAAATCTCGAAAAGAGCTATTAAATCCATTTGATTTCCAAAGATACAGAAGATTCCATTCAAATGTCCAATTTATAGCGTTCGGATTATGGCGTGGATGGGCACAAAACAGAGCTCATGGTAAAATTAAAGTTAAATATGTATTCCCGGAATGGAATAATTACATGAAACACAGAGAAGCAAAATTTGGAAAGATTCAAAAGGCAGATCAGAAGCGAAAAGACTTTATTGGACGTAATGCATTACAAGCATTATCAACACATATGCGTGAAAAGCACCAATTACAGCAAGATTTGATTGCATCAGATAATTTCCGTCTAAAACAGATAATGCGATTAACTTACCAAGCATGGGCACGCACAATCCTTCAACATACACAGAGATTGATTTTAGAGCACAATATTATTCAAAGATGGCGAACTTTGGCTGCGACAAATTCAAATCTCAGAAAATTACTCAAAATCATGCAGGCCAGGCACGAACTATACCTCAAACGCCGTACAATAGCCATGTTCCTCGCTAATATCAGGGCTTGCGGCATTACAAGAGCTTACATTTACTGCAAATTACAAGCAAAACCGAGTTTAGGCCTTTCTTTCGTTTTCAACCTTATGAAGAATGATTACGAAGCAGCCCTAAGCAGTGCATTTGCAGGATGGAGCGCTTACGTCCGCCGTCGTCGAAATTGGCACAGATTTCTCTTCCAAAACATCAAAACAACCGAATACGATGTTACAAAGAAGAAAGCACTTGCCGCATTTCGTAAGAAAGGACCTCCTTACTTAACACCACAGAATTTCACCGCTGATGTCTTCAAGCAAGAGAGTTTGTTGCTTTACGAACGTGTTATGAAATCAAATGGCACGGAAAGGAACATTTTCTTGTTGTTGAACGACAAAAAAGCGAATGCCGCACAAAGAAACATTTCCACAGCGAAGAACAGAGTTGATTCTCGTGAATTCTTCTTCAAAGCATGGTTGCAGACGAAATACAATCCAAGTTTATTCATAAGAGTCGCAATCATCAACCACATGAAGCGGAAAAGTGAATTTTGTCCTCAAACAGAAGCGGAAAGGTTCAAAAACTCTTTCCACAGGGCTTTCTATTTCTTACAACAATGCAATTTCGCATCTGCTGCAGGAATGGTTGCTTTGAAAAAAGCGATTCAAGAAAACTCCAAAAACGCATTTAATAATAGAAGATGCGTTTTAGCCAGAGATAACTTGATCATCAAAGCACATGCAGCACACGAATCCGCTGAGTTGTACTCGAAAGAAAACCCGAATTTCAAGGCTTCATCGAATCTTTGTCAATTCGACCAAATTAAAAAATTGACAAATGATTTGACAGCGAACATGAAGCCATTGATCCAATTGACAGCCATTTCTCAAAGGGAAGGACTTGCAAATGATCCAAACTTCTCTTTGATCAAAGGTTGCCATTCGAGAATACAATCTTTGAAGCCAACAATTGTGAATTCGAGAACTGAATATCATCAGAAGCTGAAAAGATTGGAATTCCAACCGATTATCCCTCAGTTTAACAACTTCAAGGGAAAGACTAATACTGACAATGTCGGTATTGGCGCCAAGACACAAGTCACGGTCGATTCTTTCACAGCGAACAAAGTTGAAAATGTTTCCATGAAAACATACAACAAAAAACTTTTTTCTGCTGTTCCGAGAGTCGGAAGAAGAGCGAGGGTTATCAATCACGCCATCAAGAACAAGTTCAATGTTAACATGAACTACGAAGAAGACGAAGAAGAGGACTTACTGCCAATGATTAATGTCCAATCCGTTGTCGGATTGAAAGAAAATCTTGGAGTGTCAAATTTGGATTTTACAAGACAATTGTTAGTTTTTTCAAGTCGTCTTAGTTTGTCAAGTAGTTCATTTAACAGCCAGCTGAGTGTTACAAGCGGAGAGACAGACATCATTGAAGAGAATGATGAAGAAGGAGAAACAAATCCATTCAAGAAGAAACACATTTTGAACTTGGACGGTTTTGGCGAAATTGTTGAAGAAAACGAAACTGAAGAAGAAGATTATTACGAAGAAGAAAGCAAAGTAGATGCAATTGAGAAACTTAATTTGGATGATGAAGAAAAGAAAACTGTTCATCAAAGCTTGGACCATATTTTCTCTTCTTCAATCACGAGAAATCAGAGTTTTGAAGAGCTAAACATTGATCCTGACATGTCCACGAAATACAAACAATTTGTTGACATCTTGTTTTCTGATCCAATAGCACTTCAAGACGCAAATCTCGACAACGTCAGAAGGATATTGATTGAAAAGGCGGAATACAACGCTCCTATCATGAAAGCTGCTGTTGACACAAACAAATACAAGATGCCAATCTCTAATCTAACAAATGCTTATCGTAAAGAACATTTTCTTTCTGGATCTGATGATGAAAAAGAAGAGGAAGAAGAAGTAAACGATAAGAAAAGTGTCGCTTCAAAGAAAGGCTTGATTGCACGTCAACAAAGCAAATTCAAGTCGACTGATTCAATTGATGCTGGACAGACATCAATATCATACACATCCAAGAAATACAAGAGTCCTCCACCAAAGAAATCAGTCACAAGAATGACAATTGGAAGTCGTGGTTCAATGACAAAAAGTGTCAAATCTGCCGAACCCGATTCAAGCGATGATGATGACGAAAGATTATTCAGAGAGCACCAACACGTCATACAACTTGAATCAGACAATAAAACAGCGAAAGTTGAAGAGGAAGAAGATCAAAAAGAATCAGATTCAGAGTCACAAAAAGAAGAAGAGAAAGCAAAGGAAGAAGAAGAGAAGAAAGAGGAAGAAAAGAAGGAAGAAAGCGAATACTCATATTCTTATTACGAAGAAGAATCAAATGTTGAAGAAGAAGAACTTGAAAGTGATTATTCTTACGAATACTACTACGAAGATGAAACAGAAAGTGTCAATAAATCTGAAGTTTTGTCAACAATTGAATCATCTCATACAGGAGAAAGCGAACCAATCAATGAACCAAAACCAGAACAACAAGAAGCACCTGCTTCTACTGATAATGAAACGAAATCAACAGTTTCTACTGCAACAACTCCTTCTCATCACATCAAAAAAAAGAGAAGAAAAGAGAAAAGTGTCAAAGATGACAGATCATCAACGCATTCACGTGTTTCTACACATCATTCTCGTGCATCTAGTTCTAAACTTAGTACTAAATCCAGTGAGAAAGATACACCTGCAACGCATCGCAGCAGAAGATCAAGAAGAAGACATAAAAGAAAAGAAGAAACTCCTCCAGAACCAAAGAAATCAATGGACTTCGACAAACTCAACAAAGTCGTGTTCCAATTCGTTGAGAAGTCTGTGAAACACATTGATCTCGAGAACCTCGTCGAAATTGATCCTGATGCAACAGATGAAGACATGAAGCCAACGAAGATGACAATTTCTAAACCGAAACAAGAGAAACAAAGAAAGAAATTGTACGAACCACCTGAAGCACCTGCAGGATATCAACCAAAGGTGTTTGCAAAGAGAATGCCGAAACCAAAGAAAGAGAAGAAGATCATTGTTGACCAGAAACAAGATAACATGACGAATTCTATGGAGAAAATCATCCACGAAGGAAACATGTTGAACAAAGTCATTTACAACCAAGGACAAACACAAATTGTACCAAAGATTGCAACGAAAAAGCCTCTACCTCCTTTCCCTCCTGAAAAGAACAACGTTGAATACATAAACAATGTTGAAAAGCCTGTCCAACCCGAAAAAACTGAGCCGAGAAAGAGAAAACCAATGATACAAAACAACAATCAAAAAGAACCAATCGAAGAATTCCCTGATTTCAGTGGTTTCGTCAGAATTGATGATCCTAATGAATCAAAGCCAAAGAAACAAGGTCCAAAGATACAACATGGTTTAGGATATAAATCTTATCCTAAGAAACCACCTCTTGAACATTCAGATTTGATGTCTTCAATTGAACAAAAATCAATTGCTCCTCAACAAAAAGTGACACAAAAATTGTTGACAACTGTTCCAATCAAGAAACCAATTGTCATCAAGAGCGATGCATTGTCATTGCACAGTTATAGCAAATCCAGTGCTACGGGCTCTTCGATAACAACTTCTTCTTTGTTGAGTAAGAGTTCATCTCTTAAAAGTGACTTTAATTCGAAAGCTCTTCGAAGAATTGTCAGACAAATTGTCGATGTCATTGCTACATCTCCTGAAGGAACAACAGAGCTCAAGAGGTTGTACAGGAGATCTGCAATGATGAGAAGAAAACCAGCTTTCGTTGGTTTGAAAGCTCCAGAATATTCCGTCAACAACCAGTTTTATGATAAAACTCAGTCAGTTTTAATCAGATACACGACGAGCCAGAATGTCCACAACGCTGCGGAAGAAGTGTTCGAGATCTTCTCCGAGAACACTGAGAACGCACACATCTTGATTGAAGAAGTAGAAAGAGCTCTTGCTGATATCAAAGAAAGTGAAAAAAGCGTTTTATCGCATCAACCAACGGAAAAGATCGATCCAAGTACACTTCCTCCAAGCATTGCTGTTCAATTGGTTGATTTGGATTGGATGGGAACACTTGGTTTGTCTTCTACAGGTGTTGAAATCATGTATAAAGATAACGGAAGAGGTCAATGGAGTGCTGTTTTGGCTCCAAATAAAAAGAACAATGAAAGAAATGAAAGAAGAGGAAAAGGAAGAAGAAGGAAGAAAGAGTTCTTCTTACAAGGAAGAAGAGAACCAAATGAATTACCTCTCGATGAGTTAATGTTAGTTTCACAATACGTTCCGCAAGAAATGGTCAACCAAGTTTTGTCAAAATACGGAAATTTCCATGATAATGAATAATAATAAAAATTTTTTGTTTGTTATGTTTATGAAATTAAGTATACGCTGTTTTTTATTTGACAAATCAAGAAAATCACAAAAATAATTTATGAAAACTCATAGATCAGCTAATAATTAAATCAATTTGCGTTTTGAATGATTCCTACTTTAATGCTTTATTTAAATAGACTTAAACTAGAGGCTTTTACCGGGTCGGCAAAGATGTCAGAATTTACAAAAAGTTCCAAAAACGGAAATAATAATTTAAAATTACAGGTTCAGATGTTTTTGGCTTCCTATTTTGAAATGTAAACTTGTCAAATCTTGTTGATCTGTTTTCTGAGCAAAAATTGAAAAAGAACATGAAAACAACAATTACATCAGATCTTGGGCCATCAAAAGCTACAATACAAGCCGAAAAGATGCTTGAACAAGTTGAAAACTTTGTTGCTGCAATCAGTAAGCTCCAACAAGAAGTAGAAAGATTACAGGGTATGAAAGATTTAGCCCAAATTCATTTGAATCAGTATAAGAAAGATTATGAACTTCTCCACAATGCATATAAGAACGCAAATACATTTGTTAACCAAATTGATAACAGCTCACCTAACTTTTCGTTAATCAACCCTAAAAAGCCGGATAGTGATAAAGCTGATTCAACTAAAAATGGTGGAAGCCCAGCTGAACCCACAATTTTAACCCCTTATCCTCAATATCAAAATTGCATTACATTAGATTTTAATTATCAACACGATTCAAAAATTACATGCCTAGCCATTAGTAATTCTGGAGAATTCTTGGCTTTTATTGCATCAGAAAACGTACTTTTAATTGATATTCCGGAAAAAGTCGTTGTTAAAACATTTCCTTTACCTCAAGATGAGCCTATTAGAGGTGATTCTCGCTGTATTGCATTTTCAAGAGATGATCAGATGATTGCAGTTAGTTATAACGATAATTACATCGCAATCTTTGATGCCAATACAGGAGATGTTAAAAAGAAACTCCGTATGCATACAAAAGACGTTTCATCATTATTATTTACTAGAGATGGCAAGTATATGATCAGTTCTGGCCAAGATGGATATATTTACAGCTACAGCTATCCGAACTTCGAAGTAATATCATCCCTATCGAATCAAATTGACTCTAAGAAGCCTCATCCCATTACAGGTGTTTGCGAAGACAACGATGGAAAAACCTTGTACATTTCATATGTAATTGGGGCCATTTCAATAGTAGAATATCCAAGCTTAGTATCTAAAATGATTTTCCAGACTCACAGTGATAAATTGATGGGAATTTATTTGGATAAAAATGAAGGATTAATTGCGACACTTATGAACACAGCAATTAAGATTATCAGGATCACAGATAATATTGATCCTATGAACAGCCTCCAAGGCCATCAAAAAGTTATCATTTCGGGTACATTTGCTCCAAATGACCCTATATTTATTTCGGGATCAAAGGATGAGAGCATTATAATGTGGGATTACAAGAACAAGCAGAATCCGAAGATTGCTGAAATTAAATATCACCAAAATACAGTTTTTGCTGTTGCCCACTCGCCATCTGCACATGAATTCGCTACATGTGATGCAAATGGCCTTGTTTGTTATTGGAAATATGATTTTCCTGGAAATCAAGTTCCTATGATTTAAATATTTTTTTGTTCTAAAGATTAAAATAATATTATAATATTTGACGATGTTTTATATCAAAATACATTACTATTATATATCTTTGTTTGAATTATAAAAAATATATGAAAAATAAAATCATTTGGAGGTATGTAAGTATAACAAAACAAGTTTATTTTGCTTTGGTAGTTGCGTTTGAGTCTAAAAATGAATGAAACAAGAAAATATATTTTGAAATTAAAAATAAGTAATTTCAAAGACCAAAAATATTACTATCTATGTATAATTGATGTATTCATAAAGAATACTTCTCGACTGGTCACTTTCCTTGGAAAAATAATGAAAAATTATAAGAAAAGCATTGGCCATCTATAATTATCGATCATATAGTAGCACTTATATGCAATACGTAAAGTCCAAGTACCGGCATTGATTGTAAGAAAAGATATGATAAATAAGACAATTCTATTTGAGCTAAATTGTGCATAAAATGGGCCAAATGAAAGTAAGAACATTGTAGCGCAAGAAATACCGATAAGAATTAAAATGATTGCTACGACAATTGACTTTATTGCAGGCCAGGGAATTTTCGGACGCTGAACCTGCGATTTTGGAATATCGCCGGTTCTGATATCAGGTCTTAATGGTCTTGGACCAAGAAGACTCTCTTCATCATCAAGTTTTCTTCTATGAAACATTTTTAAATAAATTAAAAAGGGGGGAATACCAAGAAAAAAAATTTGTCAATTAAAATTTTGGAAATGTCTCAAGATGTTATCGACCTTACGGCCGATGACTCTTCAGATGGTGAACCAAATATGAGGCCTAGGAAATTACATCCTATAAAGCTACCGCCTTTGCCTCAAACTGAAGATTTTGGTGATTTAACGTGTAAAGTTTGCCTGACCAACAAGATAAATCTAATCACTTATCCTTGTTCGCATGCATGCATGTGCTATGAATGTTTTAAGGCATTACCGATTCCAAAACAATGCCCAGTTTGTAGAAAATACATTACAAGATGCGTTTTTGTGATTTTCCCGAACTAACCTACATTATTTTGTTTGTAAATTGATATATTACTTTGGATACTTTCTATTTCCTTTAGCTTTTTTTTACATCCAAAATGTTCCGATTAACCTCAATCATCGCATGTATGATTAGGGTTATTATGGTTATTGGAAGATTTTTCTTGCAATAGTTTTGTAAATTATAAAAAAACGAACTTGATATAAATTGTAATTATGATAAATGATCAAATCCCATGCATACTTAGAAAGTACATATCCTAAGTTCTTAGTTTCTCGCTATTAAAAGGAATGTTATGGATAATTTTAAAAATTTTCAAAAAAAAATCTTAGTTGTTATCAACGATTTAAGAAAAATCAATAATGAGTAAAGTATTCTATAATAAGATAACATATTTATTCCTCTATTTCAAATAAACATTTAAATAATTTTATTATTTACACGTCTCCAGGTGCTTCCATCAACAGTATTCCAAACTTCTGAAGAGTTCTTGCCGTAAACAGCTAACTGATTTGTCATTGGAGTCCATTTAAGACGTGTTGGCTTTTCATTCAGAGTTATTGGGATATTTTGAACGACACTATCAGCAACAACCTTAACAGTTGAATCATCGCAAATTGCAGCGAGGCTACTATCTCCAAAAGCAATGAAATTAATTTTTGCTGTAGAAATCTGAGTTGTAGAGTTTTTATCGAGATCAATTATCTTGCCATCCTTTGTGGAACAAATTAAATTGCATTCCATTGGATGGTATGTAACAGCTGTTGCGTTAGAAATGTTATATGTTTGTTTGAAAGCGATTGATGTATCAGTAAATGTATATGTCGATATAGTTCCATCTTTGAATACTAATGCAAGCTCTTTTCTATGACTTGTTGCCATATTAATAATAGGTTTTTCAGTTTGAAGAGTAAAGACACATTTCCAGCCTGATTTACCGAATTTCCAGATGCACACCAATTTGTCATATCCTGCAGAGAAAATAACTGGATATATATCATACATTGTGATTGATAACGCGTAAACTGATTCTGTGTGCTTATATAAGCTATATTTCTGATCTGTTTCGTTATCTTTTACTACAATTTTGCCATCAATGTATCCATCAGCTTCTAATCTAACAAAAAAGTCCTCTGCATGGCTGAGTACAAAATTCATTTTTAGGAAAAGTGACAAAATCCATAATTATAAAAGTGACGAATTCTAAAATAAAAGTGACAATATTGGAAAGTGACAAAAAATAATTTTTCTATCGTCCCAGCTAAATTTCGATGTTTTTCACTTTATTTTCATTATCAATTCAATCACGTGTTATAGGTATTGATTTAGGAACAACGTTTTCTGTTGTCGGCATCTATAAAAACGGTGAAGTTGAAATCATTCCAAATGAAATTAATAAAAAGATCACTCCTTCTGTAGTTTCTTATTACAATGGAAGTCGTGTCGTTGGTGATTCTGCGGTACGTCTTGGAACTATCAGTCCTGAAACAACAGTTTTCGCTGTTAAGCGTCTAATTGGAAGGAAATTCTCTGATCCTATTGTTCAACAAGAGATGCACAGAGTTCCATTCACAATAGTTGAGCGTGATGAAAGACCATATATCAAGATATCAACAGAAGAAGAAGATACCCTCATTTCACCTGAAGAAATCTCAGCCCTTGTCCTCAAGAAACTCAAGCAACAAGCAGAACTCTATCTCAATGAAACAATTCATGAAGCTGTTATTACTGTTCCCGCTTACTTTAATGAAGATCAACGTAAAGCAACAATAACAGCTGGTCAAATCGCAGGTTTAAAGGTCGATCGTATTATCTCAGAGCCAACAGCAGCAGCTCTTGCATACGGTCTTAACAAAGAAGATGAAAAATACGTAATTGTTTACGATCTTGGTGGTGGAACATTCGATGTTTCATTACTAACACTCGATAAAGACTACTTCCAAGTCGTTGCTACAGGTGGCGACACTCATCTTGGCGGAGAAGACTTTGATGAGATGTGTGTCCAACAAATGATCACTAGATTCATGAATGCTACTGGATCTGATTGTTCAAGAGATCCTATTGCCCTTGCAAGGCTAAAAAAGAGCTGTGAAGCCGCGAAAATCAGACTTTCGGACGAATTAGAAACCGAAATTGAAATTCCGAACTTTTTCGAAGGCCAAGACCTCAAAGAAACATATACTCGCAAGCAATTCAACGACAACATCGAAGAACTACTCCAAAAGACCCTCAGAACTATCCAAGGAGTCATAGACGATGCAAATCTTACAAAAGAAGACATTTCCGATGTTGTCATGATTGGCGGATCAACACGAAGTCCGAGAGTGAGAGAAATAGTTTCTGAGTATTTCGGAGGCAAGAAACTCTGCACTGAAATCAATCCTGATGAAGCAGTTGCTTATGGAGCAGCAATTCAAGGCGAAATCATTTCTTCAGAGAATTTCGATGTCGTTGTTGTAGATGTTTATCCATTGACTCTTGGTGTTGAAACAAGAGGTGGATTGATGTCTCCTATCATCAAAAGGAACACAAGGATTCCTTGCAGAAGGACAAAAACATATACAACACCTTACGATGACGCAGCAGGAGCAAGAATCGAAATTTTCGAAGGAGAAAGACCTTTGACAAGAGATAACAGACCTTTGGGAATTTTCGAATTGCACAATCTCCCGAGAGCTGCAAGAGGACAACTACAAATAGACGTGACATTTGAAATCGATGCAAACGCGATTTTAACTGTAACAGCTCAAGAAATGTCTACGAAATCGATGGATCAAATTCAAATTGATACATTGGACATGGTTCTTCCACAAGAAGAAATTGACGACGCAATAGAAAAGGCAAAGATCTTCTCTGAAGAAGATGCTGCTGATAGAGCAAGAGTTGTTGCAAGAGTTGAGTTTGAACACTCTATTGATGACGTGTCGAATCAATTGGAAAGTGAAAAAGACAATCCAATGCTTGGAAAAACTATTTACAATGAATACAAAGATAAAATTAAGGCTCTCAGAAAGTGGATTGACGAACATCCAATGGAAGAACCTCACGTATACGAAGAGAAGGGTGAAAACCTTCGTGTAGAATTCGCTTTCTTATTCCACCGCGGACAACTCGCTGATTTATAAAAATAATATGTTTTGTGAATAAAATTTATAAATTTTTTTATTAAATTTCACAAGTTTAGCTGAACAGAATTTATGGATCTTATATCCACATATCATGTCAAATTGTAAGCTTGGAAAGTGTGTGAGCGTGCATTATTACAGATATTTATAACATATTTAGGGGAAAAATTGAAGTATATTCGGAAGATCACACTCTTCAAATTGTTTTGGGATGATTTTATTGAAAAAAAAAGCAACTAATGGATCTTATAAAGTTACATTCTTATAAAATCCGTTGAGAGTTATACGAGGTTCGACGAAATATTGGCATACAATGTCATTTTCTTTGCTTGCATCAGTAAATGCATGATTTATTTTGTGATTATATACAGCGAATGAATATGATGAGAATTCAGCATCATCAAGTATTTGTTTAATAATGTTAGAGGATAAATTTTGAGGAATAAAGTTAAAATTCTCTTTTTTGCGCTTGATGATCTGAAACACTGTATGCAATCATAAGACCATCTTCTTACTTTTTAGATTCTAAGGATACAACATCATATATTTCGGCTTCTCCATTGATTTGATCAATATCTGCAGCTTGGCAACGACTTCACATGCTTTAATACCTAGTAAATGAGCGCATTCATTGTCTCTTCCTGAAAATTAGTCAACGTTATCAATGCTTCATTGCTTTTCTTCTTCATTACTATAATATATTTCATCATGATCTTGGAAATTTTCGTTTTTGCGTTCTGTTACATCTGTATCTGGTATATTATCCTTTGTAATTAAAGAATGATTGTATTTTAGTTTGTTTCTACTTCGTTTTCTTCTGTTTCAGAAAATTCATTTCAACTTTGATATTCTTCTCTTGCTTGACATAGAGAATAGCCGTGTATATCAAATTTCCTTTTAAAAAATGTGTGCGGTTATCTGTTCTCTGCTCTGGATGCCAATCAAATGAATTGAATTAAGACCAATTACTCGCCTTTGTATGATATCGTTCGAAATAAATACTCTGCACATTCAATATCAGGGATGAAGCGGATTCGTTAATCATCTACGCCCATCGTATTTTTTCTTAAAATAAATAAAAAATCAATATGGATGTTTTGTTGGAAATTTATTCATATGCAATATTTGGGGGATAATTTTTTATTTTAAGTTGAGAGGAAATTATTTTTTGAATTGAAATAACCGTCGATCAGTGTAACAAAATTTGAGATAACAAAATAAAGTGTGTTCACCTCATTTAAAAAAATGTTCTCTATGGAGCATCCCGCCTACCTCAAGAAGGGCCTTCCAGGCTTCTTGACACCACATGCTGTTGAAATCCACGTCACAAAGCACCATCAGGCATACATTGACACCGCAAATAAGCTCATTGTCGGTTCCGGCCTCGAGGGCAAGCCAATTGAGGAAGTTATCCAGAAGGCTCAGGGCCCACTCTTCAACAACGTTGCCCAGCACTTCAACCACTCCTTCTTCTGGAGGTGCCTTCAGCCAGAAACAATCCCGGTTACACCAAAGGTTGCTGATGTCCTTGCTGCTAACTTCGAGTCTGTCGAGAAGTTCAAGGAGACATTCACAGCTAAGGCTTCTACAGTCTTCGGCTCCGGCTGGTGCTATCTTTACAAGAGCAAGGATGGCAAGTGCGAGATCGGCCAGTACTCCAACGCCCTCAACCCAGTCAAGGATGGCCATAAGCCACTCCTCACAGTCGACACTTGGGAGCATGCCTGGTACATCGACTACGAGAACAGAAAGGCTGAGTACTTCAAGAACTTCTGGAACCATGTTAACTGGAACTTTGTTGAGCAGAACATGTTAAATGCCGGTCTTTAAGTAAAAAATTAATATTGTGTTCAAAAATACTTTGAACTGATCAAAATCAATAATGTTTTTCCTCAAGAAAACTCAATTATAATACTCTTCATTCTAGATATTTGAAAATTGTAATCCAAATTAAATTTGAACTTTCATTGAGCTTTTTTAACTTTTAAATATAAATGCACACTATATGAGCTTTTATTTGGAAAGGAAATTTTAGTTGCAGATATTTCAGACCCTAAAATTTTGTATAATACCCCCTAAATTCTCCGGTATGCATTCAAAATTTTGTTTCTTCTCTTTTTCGTATCTGGAGCCGGCTACACTCCTCCACCTCCTACTTTCATTCCCGACTTATATGAAAATGATTTTGATGAAAGATTAGAGGTAGATTCCAGAAAAAATCTTGAAATTGAAGTTTCATTTTCCAATTTAGGTATCATTTCAGGAAACAGAACACGAAGAGCATATTTCAGATCATCTTTAATTGTTGATAATACTCAATTCAATGATTGCTATGCTTTTGGTCAAGGATATACTTTCGGATCTGGAGGAGGAATATACATCTCATCCAGTAACATATACTCAAGCAAATCTACTTGGATATCTAACATTGACAACATAGGTGGAGCATTGTCAGGTATCGGTAGCAATATTAACATTTCAGAAAACAATTTCGAACAGAATCATGCAATATATTCTGCTGGTGCGCTATCATCATGCTATAACAGTCAAGGGTATCTTACAGAATTAGATGAACTCTCTAATTCTGAATCAAAATTTGATAATGAACCAAATTTACAGATTTCGAATACAGTATTCAAAGAAAATATATGTGATGAATACGCAGGAGCTACACATATCGTCAGAAATAAAATTGCTGATATAATCGACTCAAAGTTCCTTGGAAACAGTGCTTGCATCTCAGGAGGTGCTATTATAGTCGATTCAACTACAATCTCATTCGCGAGATGTGATTTCTTACATAATTTTATAAATTCAGAAAAAAGAGAAATTCTTCATAAAAATACGATATTAAAGGGTTCATTAGTAGGTGGAGGAGCAATATCACTCAATTCACAGCATGCTAATCTAGGAAATTCCGATCAGAAGTTCCAATTAACTACAATTTCATGTAATTTCGGAAATAACTCAGCAAGTATTCTTTCTATTCATCCGCTTGGTGGAGACATACTTTTTACAGGTAATGCATCGCTCTGGAGATCAACTGATGATTGTTTTTTGGAAAAATACGATATTGCCGGTGAAGTTTTGATTTTTATGACTTGTGATAGAGAATGTCCGAAATTACCAATATCCCATGCAGATGATCCAACAAATATTTCATTTCCAAGTCAAATAAGTATTTCTTATGAGTCTATGTCTCCTTATGAAGAACCACCACCTTATACTCCACCTCCAACTGACTCTTATTCTCCTCTTCCAACTCCGAAGTCAGTTCCTTCGTTAAATACCAAACTTCCAGATATTACAAATATTCCTATCGTATCTGTCACTTTTTACACTCCTTTTCCAACAAAATCTGCTTCCCCAATTCCTACAGATTTTCCAACGACAACATCATCATCCGAGCCAACAACAGATCATAGCAAGCCGCCAACTAAGTCTTCCATTACTCCAAAACCTTCAGAAGTTCCAAGTTCTCTGACTATTACGATTATTCCGACTGAAACAGATACGCAAGTAATTACTCACACTATGATAATTACTGATACCTTTGTACAGTCAGGAACTACGTTTACAACAACAAAAACAGAGAAATTTACTGATAATTTCATTTCAACAAAAATTGAAACGAATGTGACCACTTACACGCACGCATCTGATGATCGCAAACCTTCCAATTCTGTGGCAATAGCTGCAAGAGTAATTATTACTGTTCTTTCCTTAATTTTAATAATTATTATTGCAGGTTACATTTATAGGAGGTACAAGCGTAAAACAGACTATGATACGTTCTCTACTGACCTCGGAGATAACGCGAAGACTTCATATTTAACTAAAAATATCAAAGATTTATCATCTTACACAAATGATAATTCGATGGTATCCACAGAATCATTGTTGCTCAGTGATGATACTTTTGATCCAGATTTTTCGGAATCTTCTATGTCAAAAGATGTAGAATTGCAAATATAAACTGTTTTTATATTTCTATCATTAAATATCCACAATTCTTTTTTGTAACTCTGATATCATAATAGATATAAGATATTTTGAGCTTTTAAATGAGAAATATCAGAAAATTAATCTTAACATGATATAGAATACCTTGAGCACATAATTAGATAGGAATTGGATGGCTTTTTATGAAGTGCAATGATTAATTCTAGAAAAAATAATATGAAATTGAACAAAAACATATGATTTCTCATTTAATCCATGTAATAATATATCTTTATGTATAGTTGATGCATTTGTCCGTTCTCGAATATCTTAAATCCCTGGTTTCTAATTCCAAATTTATTTTGAAAATAAAAAAATGAAGAAAAATTCTACAGAACTAAAATAAAATTTTTCTAATAGCAAAAATCCATTAAGAAATGTTAAAGCGGGAAGAACCACCTGAAAGGATATACTCGTATCCGAACATAAAATGAAATCATTTTTGGATATTTTACAATTTAAGTTTCCAAACCGTAAATTTTACAGAAATTTTAAAAGAAATTCTTTCAAATTTTGAAAGCAAGACCTTGATTACGAAATGTAAAAATGGCAAAAAATTCCAGTCAGTCTAATTTCACTCTACAGAACCCTTTTCTTATCAGTTCCTCCCAAACTAATTCGATAATTTCTTAACCAAAACTTCATCAATTTAAATTCAATATATTTATTTTGTAATGTCTAAGTTAGACTATAATATGTTGTTTTACATTACAGATCTTTTCGGAATACCTCAATTGCGTTTGTCATTATTGCTACAAATTTGTTCTAAGACTCTATCAGCAAAGGGTAAACAGTCAGTCGGTAAATTGCCGGGGGTTACACTTTAAATTCTGACTCGTGAAACCTTTAATCATTAATTATTATAACTTGATATACCTAATAAAATTAATGGAATATGATTTATTAAAAGTGACACATCGAAATCAAAAATGCACCAAATCTTCACAAAGACCCATCCATTATATCTTATTATAATGATGAGTGCCTTAACAGGATTACTTTTACTGATCTGCATTGCTATGCCAAACTTTTCTACGACAACCACAAACAGTATTCCAATTACTCACATCGACAACTTCTCAAATACATACTCATTTTATATTCCACGTGGCTATATGCCAGCCGTTGCTGTCGAGGAATCTCTTGTTGTCCAGTACTCGTCTATTGATGATGTTGATACGTGGCCATTTTGGATCAGAAATAACATGAGATCCGAAGGTGAGCACGCAACAGAAAAATATGTTCCACCAAAGTTCAAAATTACAAACAAACTCTCTGAACCAATCTATTTCAACAGAGCAGAATATTATAACGTTACAAATGTAACAATTGACCACATTGTCATTACTCGTAATCCGAATATTGTCAAGCTTATTTTCACATTCACATATAGCTTGCCAATTAGCATTCCACAAGCCATCCTTGCTTATGCATCTCTTCCTTTCCTTGCTTTCTGCATTAAGTCACCGCTTTTGATCCCGTTGGTTCTTTTATATTTCGCTTCTTTCTCAAGCTTCACAACAAATCAGTCCGCTCTTTTCTACAGACTTTATTCGGCATATTTAATTTTCATTACCTTCCGCCATACATCCAAGCACTCTACAATTGCAAACGCCTTATGCGATGTCCTTCGGCCAGCAGGCATCTGCATTTGCGCCTTGTATTCAATTGTTTCAATCCTCAAACTCGGATTCCAATGCCCATTCGCTATTTCAACCTCTCCAGTTGATATATTATGCGGTCTTTCAATTGTACAGATCATTGGCCTCGTTGCTGCTAACCAGAGCAACTTACCAATCTTTTTGGATTTCATTGGAGCAATTTCCACAATGATTCCTTACGTTCTTCAGCTCCTACTTCCAGTATATATTTCTGGCATCAGAGCTTGCGCTGCTTCCTACCTTTCCGCTTCAATTCTTTCTCTTAACGGTTTAATGGCAATTATCATGTCAGAAACCCTTATTGAACGTGATGATACAGTCTCAGAAAACGTCATTGGTGTCATTACAAGAGAAACATCTTCATCATCCGGCGATTTAGTTGCAATTGAAAGAGATGACGGTTTAAAGATCATGAAGATCAGAGGTTTCAACGCTTTGACACTTATTGTTGCATTAGCACCAACAGCTGTTTCTATTCTCCTCCTCTTCTTCGCTCAATTCGGTGGATTCCCTCCAGCAGAGTTCCTTGTTTCCCCACCATAAGCTCCATCGTAATCATTTATCATTTATATATAAATTTATTGAAATAATTATGTATTAATTGCTTATTTTTCTAATCTTATATTCTTTTAGAGTATTGAAAGCTGCGCATTTGTGGAAAAGAGCGTTCTTGGGCCGAAATTTGTTTTATCGAAAAGTTAAAAAATCAAAGTTTCGTATAATTATTTGTTGAAAACAAAAAGGTAAGATTCCGCTGACCAATTCTCGCAAATCTTAGTTGTCAAAAGTCTAAAAATTTTTTTGAACTGTTTAGTCAATTTCAGCTCAAAATTTTTGATATAAATATTTGCATCACAAGACGAATATACTAATTTATGATTAATAAGGTTGGGATGATGTAAGTGAAATTTCAATGTTCGCTATCGTCTCTCAGAAAGAGATTATTACAAATAAGAAATGTAAGGACGATAGAATAAAAAGTGATATTGTTTGTTAGTTTATGAAAAAATTAAAGTCTGTTATGTACTTAGATTAGAAATAAATCAAATCGATGAAATTTTAAAAAATTCGAAATTTGCTCGAGTCCTAGAACGCAATTAGTTTGCAAATATATATTGTATAGACAAAAGGTGTACAGAGGGACTAATTAATAAGCCGCACTTCAGTTCCTAACGTTTTGTAAGTAAAAAAAAATTTTTGAATGGAGCAAAGCGACGAGGTTGCTACTCCAAAATTTTTTGATATGCTTTCTGATGATGATAAAACCCTCTATCAAAACCTGCGTTCAAGCCTTAGTTCACACGCGTGCAGAAATCGTCGAGGAAAAAGATTAGAAAATTTTTCAGAAATGCTCAGCACTATTAAAACATTCTGTTTGAGGCACAATGAAGATGATTGGAAGAGGTGTCTCGTTTGTGGTGTTTGCTGGCTACCCAATGGAATTGCAATTAATACTCGCCATCTTTCACTTTTAATTGACAAATGCAAGTCATCTATTAATGGCTCACTCCAGAAAATGGGATACAGTACATTGCAGAGCCGTAGCGAATCATCTGGAGCCTTATCTGATACAATTCCCCTTATAAAGAATAACTTCAATGAACTTCGCGAGTGGACCATCAGACAATTTATTGCCAATACGCCGGCCCCTCAAATGCCGGCTGGACTATTTATGGGATTTTCACCTACACCTACCTTATCTCAGCAGATGATTCCAGCTTTGACAGGTGGGTTAACATATCAGGCCATGACACCTATCCCTCAGCTTCCAATTAATACCATGTCGTTCATGATGGCGGCCATTCCACAACAAATTCCTCAGATGACTAAAATGAATTACCATATGCCAATGGCACAACAGATGACGCAGTTACCAAGGTCGCAGTCACATCCAATTCAACAGATGCAGCAACAACTTATCCCGCCAAATATGCAGACAGGCATGATGAACCCGCAGATGACATCAATGATGAATCAACAACAACCACAGCCTATTATGCCTCAACAACCGATGCAGCAACAACAACCAATGCAAAATGTACCACAAATGCAGCAACAGCAACAGCCTACGCAGCCTGAGGAGAATGCTGGGCCAACAATATTCGAAGAAGATAACGATCCACTCGCTCTTACACCTTACTTCTTCTTTGATGATGAAGATCTACCGGCTGATGATCACTGATTGTAGTTATTGTGATTTGTTTTTGTTCAAGGAAATATTATTTATTTTCCCATGTTTATTATTTAGATTTTTATAAAAATAAAATTGCAAAATTTATCCTTTTTCTTTGGTTCCGAGAATCTTGCTATTGATGCTGAAGATCTTATTGTCATCGATAGGTTTCGGATTTTGATTTTTGCTTTCAGAAAATATGATCTCTCAAAATGTTGGTATCTAGCAATTTGAGATATCCTTGAACATCTATGTGATTTTGCGAATATGTACGATATGTTTTCAATTTAGGATTCACTCAAACAATTCAGATTATTTCAATATTACTATTTCACTGCAATTTTTCAGACCAGAATATTATAAACTAGTAACATTGTGCTTATGCATTGTTGGAGCGAACCCATAATGAGCTAAAAGTAGGTTCTGTCACTTTTTAAAATTCTTTGCCATAATGAGCTTTTCATATAATGAACTGTTTGAGAAGCACAAAGATTATATAGACACTTATAATGTTGTAAACAGAAATTCATCAAAAGTGACACCTCAGAAAAGCTAAAATATTGAATTTTTGGAACTTTTGATAGAGCACGTTTTTAAATATTAATTAAAGTAAATGTGTATTTTGTAAAGATTCTTTTTAATAAAAAAAATAAAATTTTGAAGAAGAACACAAAATCTTCTGAAAAATAATATCACATAAACTCATATTATTTTCTAATATATAACTATTTTATATAAAAATCAAATTCAATGATCTTAAAAGCGAAGGATAAACCTCAAAATTTACGAATATAATGAGTGGGAATATAATGCTTATCTATCATAAAACCATATGAAATATCAATTTTTGCTTTACGCCTAATTTTTGACGACAATTAGCAAAAAATGTTAAATGTTAACACTCAGTCCATTTGAATATGAAAAATAAAATTGACTTTGATTAAATGTTTTTATTTAAAAAAAAAAAAAAAAAAAAAAAAAGGTAGTGGGGCTTCCAGGCACTTCGTGCCCTCTAGCCCCGAAGATGTTTTGTCAAGACTTCTTCATCGTAAATGTTTTGTCAAGACTTCTTCGTAAAGACTTTGTCAAGACTTCTTCATCGTAAATGTTTTGTCAAGACTTCTTCGTAAAATCAGACAAAAATATATTTTATGTTAGAATGTTAGATCTAACCTCTTTTCTAACATGTTTTCTAACATCGTAGAAAACTCATGATTTCATCGTAAATGTTTTGTCAAGACTTCTTCATCGTAAATGTTTTGTCAAGACTTCTTCGTAAAATCAGACAAAAATATATTTTATGTTAGAATGTTAGATCTAACCTCTTTTCTAACCTCTTTTCTAACCTCATGAATTTTCATGAACTTTCTTTACAAAGTCTTTACGATGAAGAACTTTACAAAGTCTCAACAAAACATTGACAAGAAAGTTCATGAGAAAGACTTTACAAAGTCTTTACGATGAAGAACTTTACGAAGAAATCTCAACAAAGTCTTTACGAAGAAGTCTTGACAAAACATTTACGATGAAATCATGAAAATTCAAGAGGGTAGAAAACATGTTAGAAAAGAGGTTAGATCTAACATTCTAACATAAAATATATTTTTATTGAATTCCGTATGAAATTTCATGAGTTTTGTATGTTTTAGACCATGTTAGAAAACATGTTAGAAAAGAGGTTAGATCTAACATTCTAACATAAAATATATTTTTGTCTGATTTACACTCATTTACGAAGAAGTCTTAACAAAGTCTTTACGAAGAAATCTCAACAAAACATAGACAAGAAAGTTCATGAGAAATTAGATGAAGAAGTCTTAACAAAGTCTTTACGAAGAAATCTCAACAAAACATAGACAAGAAAGTTCATGAGAAATTAGATGAAGAAGTCTTGACAAAACATTTACGAAGAAATTCATGAAAATTCAAGAGGGTAGAAAAGAGGTTAGAAAAGAGGTTAGATATACCCTTCTACCCTAAAATATATTTTTGGGTCATTTACACTCATTTACGAAGAAATCTCAACAAAGTCTTTACGAAGAAGTCTTTACAAAACATCTGTCAAAAGCCGCTTTTTAACTTCACTTAAAATGCCACGTAAGCTACGTAAGAATATACGTAAGAGGAAGAGAGCATTGAAACATCCAATAGTAAGACTGACACCACAACAACAGTTGCAACAACAAATGCTGAATGACCCCACTATGTTGCAACAAATGTCAAGCAATCCTATGCTTTTAAACCGAGTTGTTGGTGCACAGAGTGGAGGTTTAAGAGCGGCACTTTTAGCGAAAATGGCAGGCTATGGTGGAGCTGCAGACGGAACAGCCTATAACCCTCAAAGTCAAATGAATTTGAGTTCACTCAAAAATCAAATAACAGATGTCAAAAAGTCAAACATAGACATACAGAAGCAAATAAGTGAAAACGAAAAGAAACTAGAATATGACAGACACACAAAGAAACTCAATGAGTTAAACGTAGAGAAAAAGAAGAAAGAAGAACAACTGAAAGAACTAAGTACAGAGGAATATGCGAAAAAAGTGTCAGAAAAAGCAGCAGAAGTAGCAAAAATGGAACAAGATGTCATAAATTTGAAAAACCATACTACTCAATATAAAATACTGAAAGATGAAGAGATAAAACAAAAAGCCCTGAAGACATATATGGATAGCGATGAGTATAAAAAAGAAGTTGAAGCAAATGTAAAGGCAGAAAAACTTTTACAGTTGCAAAACCAAACCGTACAGTATGAAAACTTAGCACAAGAAAGTAAAAATAACGACGCGGCTATGCAAAAGGCAATGAAAAGCGCAGAATATATAAAAGCTAACAATGACTGGTTAGATGCCCAAGCCAACGCTAAAGCAGCCCAACTCATAGGGTCAATAAGGACAAAAATACAAGCGGATGAAGACAGTTCAAATGAAGCTTTAATGAATGCTGACTTTAAGAACGCCTTCGAAGCTCTTCATAGTAAGGTGAAACAAGTGAACGACTTCTCATCTGGAAAGAAACTGAAGTCTGAAGGTTTCGACAAAGAGTTAAAAGAAGTAGCACAAAATATGACGAAAATAACAGATGCAGCAACGAGACAGGCAGTTCAAAGTGCCTATGACGCCGTTAGAGCAACTGTTGTGGAAAGTCAAGAAAAAGAGTTACAACAGACCAAAACAGACCTAGTAAATGCTTTCTTAAGAACGAAAAGTCAGGTAGGACATTATGCTGCAGATGGAACATATGTGCCAGCTGGTGGAACTTATATACCAGCTGGTGGAACTTATATACTAGCTAGTGGAACTTATATACCACCAAACCCTCCAAGAGAAGCACCTGCACCAGGACTACCTAAAACATTTACATCGTCACATGGACACAGACACAGGCATGCACCAAAACCAACACAACAACCAACAGTTCAAAATCCAGCACAGCAACCAACAGTTCAAAATCCAGCACAACAACAACAACCAGCACAACAACAACAACCAGCACAACAACCACCTCCACAACCAGCACAGCAACCACCTCCACAACCAGCACAGCAACCAACAGTTCAAAACCCTGCACAACAACAACCACAAACAGAGCAAGGACATAAAAGAAGTAGAGAACAAGGAAACCAAGAATTCTTAAAAATGCTTAAAGAAGAGTGTGGTTTCCCAGATAGTATTGACTTTAGTGACAGATATAAAGAAGCTATTGGAAAGTTCAAGGATGGAAATACTGACCCGAACCTATTTAGCTTTATGCTCAGCACCAAAACGGATATAATCTCAAACCTGGAAAATACAAGCTCGCTAAGGGATATGATTTAATAGCATATCATCCAAATGACATGGATGAATTTACTCCGAGATATTTGATGTCAGAGCTAAATGACAATTCAACTTTCGTCATGAAACGCGTAAAAAATAGAGACGGAACGAAAGAACAAAAGCTTATGAATGCGGATGACGTAGATAGGGAACTTTTTAAAAACGGTCTCGGAATATATGAAATGCCAGCAGATGAGGTACAAGAAACTCCACAGGAAGAAGTTCAGATACAACCAGACATGGAAGAAATAGTTCAGCAACAACAGCTAGAAGAGCCTGAAGGAAACGAACAAGTCACTCCTTTGGAAACTAACTTCACAGAACTAGATGAAGATTTGGAACAGCCGAAAATCTTGACCCTCAACAAGAGTATGAGGTGAATATGGAATCTTTCCAAGAGTCTAAAAAATTCGGCTGACATAGTAGAAGAATATCGAAAAATGTTTGCCGACATACAAAAGACTCCAACATCAGATGAAAATATCCAGCATAGAATGAAGAACTGAAAAAAATGTACACAAATACAACAACCCTTTTTACTTACGAGCATTTAACGTTCAATCTTCGGATGAACTCGGTGAAGATAAAAGGTTAAATTTCAAGAAAACATATAGAAATGAAACATTGTTTAAAGTTCATTCAGAACCTAACCAAGATGGAAACAAACCTACTTTTGTTTCTGCAGACGATGGAACTACAATGAGATGGGGTCATAAAGCTAATCCAGATAGGTGGTTCATAAACTTACAACCACAATTCCAAGAAGTTGTAGACGCAATGGAAGTCAATGGTGAACCAGATATAGCTGGTATTTTAAGCGCGGCTTTAATGCCATTGAAAAGATATGAAAGATGCAGATATTTTGGACCAGTATGAAATGAACATGGCTGATGGAAATATAACACCTGACGTTCTAGAACATTTATCTCAAAGAACTACACAGAACCATAGAGATGGTATATTTGGTGAAGAGTTTAGAAAGAAAGTTAGGGAGAGAGAAGGAAGAGAACCTATTGTACATGACCTTGCAAACGAAAGTTTACAAAATGTCATAAAACTTACTTTGCAGACATGAACCGAGAAGGGATGAATATTTAAGAAAACTCAAATGGACAGTACCAAATGAAATGTTAGTATTGAAAAACATGTTCCTTGACAAAATAAAACCAACTACAGAAATAAACGACGCAAGACTGAAAGATTGGGTAAAAGCTTTCCCATTCACAAAAGATATAGTTGGTAACATGGAAAGAAAACCAGAATGGCTACAAAAACATATATTTGGAAACGAGCTTATTCCATATGGACAGCACTGTTTGAAGAGCTTGAACCAGAAACTCAGGAAAGAGTCATGCAAACAATACGCGAAGACTCAAATACAGACTATGACAAACTCTTTCTAGGATATAGGTTACCTGAGATGGGCGACCAGAGCCAAAAGGCAAAAAGGACATGGGAAATTTGCAACATACTAGATGAACATAATGCAAAGATGCAACAACTTCAAGCAGAGGGCAATGAAGGAAAAAGAAGAGTTAAAAACTCAGTCAGGAAGAAAGTAAAGCTTGGTCCAGTGGGTTCTATTATGACATATAAATCCAACTATTCTATATTTTTACTCATATGAAATGTACGCCGCTCAGAATATAACGCCAACAGTTTTGGATGCATGAATGGAAATGTTTCCGAATGGTATAACGAATGCGACAATGCCATTAGAAGGTCAGAAATAGTTCCTGGAACTTACGAATATACAACTGCTGTTTCTTATGGAAACGTAGGTGAGTTTGGAGAAGGTTCTTCAACAACAGTAGATATTGCTTGCGACAGGTTTCATATAATTTCTATTGACAACTCTTTCTTATACGTGGAACAAGACATTGAAATAAAACCTTCTGCCAAGTTGTCTGACAAGAAAGGTTGCAATGGAATTTTCTATGTCGGATACCAATATGCTCCAGAAGTTTTCATGGGATATAAGATATATTCTAACTCTGACTTAGTTCAAACAGTAACATGGGCAAACTATGAATGGTTCGCTTTGAGAAACTCAGTACAACCACAAGCTAGAGAACAAACAGACCAGTATGCAACTATTGAGAAAATAAGAAGACTTGACCCTAACGTTCCAGGAGTTTATGTTGACCTTTCTGGACAAATGAAATGCAGTCACAAAGTAAAATTGAAACTTAGAGTTCCTTTGTCATCTTTCCTCATCTTCAGGTTTTTAAGATACTTGCCAAACTGGGCAGGAAAAATTTCTATCGAACTTACTCCAAGCAAAAATAACTTAGTCATTGCACCAACACAAGACCCATTCACTCTTACAGACGTAAAGGAGCAAATCAAACGTCATTCGCCGATTTTGCAAAGACAAAGTTGACTTAGACTTTGGTTTCTCAAACCTCAACACTGAAGTAAACTACTACTTCAATGCTGCTGGAACTGCTTGGGACCCAGTTAAGTTCACATGCGAAAAGTTTGAATGCAAGAGAATAGAAAGCAGACTTGCAGTCTATATGTTGGACCCAGATATTTCAAATGCTTTAGCTGCCAAATATATTGCAGTTCCACTTATGTTCCCTATACACCAAATATCTGTCAAAGACTTTGCAGGTGAAGTTGGAAACCAAAGTGCTGACCCAGGTGCAAGAACAGATATTGCTTTAACAACTGCAATGAAACATGCAGATACTATGTTTGTACTGTTCAGACGAACTATAAATGACTATTCTTGCTTCTACAACCCTGGTATTAAATATCATATAAACATAGATGGCAAATACTATCCAAGAGAAGAATATTCTACAGTTGAGGATATGAGGTCATACAACTTGACATTAGATGCTATGAACTTTAACAACAACTTCACAACAACCATTAACCCTGAAATGCAAAGTTCTATTATGCCATATGTGAAAGTATGGACTCATACAGGAGTCAAAAACTCAATATACAAATGGAGACCGTTCAAACTTTTGGCTTGGCATTCCATTTGCTGACTCAGAAGACTTTATGGGTGGTATTTCAACTGTTGGTACAGTTCAAATACAATATACTGGTGACAGAGACGGTCCAATGAATTGAAAGCAAAGAAGTTTACAAAACCAATAGCACTTTTCACGGAAGATGCTCTTTTGAAAATTCGTTCGATGAAACCTGCTGGGGCTCCTCAGATTGGTATAACGACAGCTTCCATCGAGCAGATTTTGGCAGCAGGTCAGTAAGTTGTTCTTGAACTGACTTCTCTCCGTCAAATATTGACAGTACGCCAGTTTTGATATAATATTGTATTATAAACTTACCTTTAGAAATATCGGTCAGTTTTGTTGTTATATTTTTGTCTGCTTCAAGAACTTTCACCATTTCAGTTATACCAACTTTCTTTGCTTTATGAAAATATTTTGGTTCAGCAAAGACTGCTATTCTATAACATTTTCCATTGTTTGTGTAAAGAACTATTCTGTCAATGTATTTGTATTGTTTGTGTGTGTAAACTTTGTTTGCTTCAATTCGAAGAGATACTCAAATACGTCCATCTTTTTATTCTAAGTAAAATGTCATTTCCGAAAAATAGAAGCGTAAGTGTTTCAAAAGGTTTAATGGCGGTGGCAGATGTGAAGTTAAATTCACCAACTCAAACAAACAGTCAAAGTGTTGTTGTCAATGTCAAAGAAAGAGATGTTGAAGTGGGGAAACCATACGAAGACGAAGATGGTATAACAATAGTTCCTGTAAAAGAACAACCAACATATCCTGAAGTTAGCAGAGACTTAAGTTCTGTTGCAGATATTCGAAACGACTACCACAACTAAAGACAAACTTAAAACTCAGGAGAAGATTTGTCAGGCTTTGGGTATAATGTTAAACTTGGTCGAACACAACCCTGTAAAAGTGAACTCATATGTCATTGCACCTCATGAATTTTGAAAGAACTATTGAAACTTTTGACAGAGGCAGACGATATAAACATCAAAGAAATAGAACCCGACATTGCTTGCTGTGGTGTTTCATATAATGTCATTGACAAGATATACGTTATGAAAGGAGGTGAAACGTTGAACTTAAAATATAGTTTCCCAGACGTCATAAAAATATTTGACGACCACAACATTTCATTAAAATTTACTTGCTAAGTAAATGGCAGAAGACATAGTGGTTTATACTATTACGACTAAAAACCCTGAGTCATATAATTCTATAACAACAAACTTACAAAGTCCTCAAGGACGATATTGTAAACTAACCTTAAACACAATGACGACTAAAGCCTGTTTTGCTCTTTTGACACCAGAAGATTTTATTGTTGTGAATGGTAAAAAATACTCCTTTGAAGATACTTACTCAGATATACCACCAACAGGTTTTGTTGACTTATTTAATACTTTAAGGACGGATGTAACATGTGCTGCAACTAGAGCAGGTTTCATTATGTTTGGATGTCCGACTGAGTTTACTATAAACGATATGAGCTATAATACAAAACTTATATCTGGTTTTTACTACCAACAATTTCCTATAACAGGAAAAGGTGTCATACAAGGTCTATCCGTTCCATTGACTTTAAGTACACCTATTTTATATATTGTTTCAAACTTAGGTTCAAAGTGCTATTCGAATGTCGACAGAAACTACTATGACCAAAAGATACTCATGCGTATAAACAACACTTTCTCTGCTGGTTTGCCTATTGTTCATTCGAATGCAGAGTTTTCAGCTTTAGTAAACTCAAACACTTTAGCAAACATAAACTTAACCTTAGTTGACGCAAACTTTGTTCCTGTAAAACTTTTATGTCCTATGTATTTGTCAATGACGGCAGAAAGTTTCGAATTGGAAGATGCAACTGGTGAAAGTATTGTATTACAAGAACAACTTCAACAACAAATAGCTCAAGAACAACTTCAACAACAAATAGCTCAAGAACAACAAATGCAACAAATAGCTCAAGAATAAAAAAAATATTTTTTTTTATTTGAAATGTACGCTGAGTTTTGTTGGAGAAGACCGTCAGACAACATGTTTGTTAGATGAGAAGTAAAACATTGCATGAAATAAAACATTTTTTCAAAAAAAATATTTTTTTATTTTATTTGAAATGTACGCTGAGTCTGTCGGAAAAGACTGTTGGAAAACTTGTTTGTTAGATGAGAAATATGAAATTCACTGTTGTGAGTCATTTGAAGTCAGAAACAAAAAGACAAAAAGAGTTTTAAGCGAATGGGAGCAAAATAACGGATATGCTAGGATGAGGATTGGTGGAAAACACTATTTTAAACATGTTGTCATTGCAACTCATTTTATACCGAACCCTAACAATCTACCTTTTGTAGACCATATAAACCATATAAGAAACGACAATAGACTTGAAAATTTACGCTGGGTCACTTGTTCTGAAAACAGTAAGAACAGAGGCAAAATTAGAGATATTGTATTCGAATTTGTCGACGAACTAGAAGATGAAACAATTGAAATTACAGACTATGGCAAGCATGCGTTTGAGTTTTACTACTATAGCGAAGAACAAGACTCTTTCTACTTTTATACCGGCGTAAACTATAGAAAATTACAAGTATGTTTTACTAATGGCTATGCTTATGTAAACGCTAGAGATACAGATGGAAAAAACGTTAAAATACTTCTTAACAAATTCAAGAAGCTATATGGCATACCATTTTAAAACGTTTTTAAAAAAAAATATTTTTTTATCCGATAGAAAAGATGACGAAATATATTTCAGTCAACAAATATATGTCAGGACTTAAAGAAGAACTAGACCCATTCATATATTTGAATGTTTACTTCTACCATTTTGAAAAGTCTACATTTGACAAAGTTTGGAACATCGAACCAGTTAAGTTTGCTATTGTGACTAAAAATGGTGCGAAATTTGAAGACTTAGACATAGAAGGTTTGTTAGCAGTCAAAGAAAATTTTGACAGAAGGTTCTCAAACCTTAAAGAAGGCAAAGCATACAAACTTGTTATACCTTATGAACCAAAGAAAGCAGACGACTATGAATATTATGAGTCTAAGATAGTTGAAGTTCAAGGTAAATTGGGTAAAAAGATTTTAGAGTCTAAGCCAGTGTTTGCTCCTAAAGAGGAAGAGAACATTGACATTGACCCAGAAATGTTCTAAAAATAAAATTTTATTTTTACATGTCATATCTCACCTTCTCTGGAACTGGTTCAGGTTCTTTCTTCTCTTCTTCTACTTTCTTTTCTTTCTTTTCTCTCTTCTTCTTCTTTTCTGGTGGAGTTATGTCAAATTTCTCAGAACCATATTTATGTAAAAGTTCTTTGTCCTTTAATAGCTCTTCTATTCTGTTTCCTATTTCATCTTCAAGAACAGCGCATGTGTCTTCTTTGCATTCTAAGAACTTTTGTTGGACTTCATCTCTCCAAGAGGCGTCATCTCTGTCAACAAGTCTGTCATTGACAAACTTAAAGACTTCTCTGCCTAATGTTTTATGGTTCTTGTCATATTCCCAGAAACAGAACTTTAGAACAAATTCACCTTTCTTGTTTACACTATGTAAGATTTTATGGTCGACAGATGTTTTGCTGTCAAAAAGTTTGTCTCGAATATAGATAGCGAAATCGCTAGACATTTTCAAAAAGATAAAAATTTTAATTTTTCTAAAAATATGTTAGAAAAAAAGTTTGCTGACATTGACAAAAAATTTGAGAATGTTTTAAACAAGAACAAGAGGAAGTTAGAAAATGCTCAGATAAAGCCTATACATGACAAGTTCTTATTTGCTCAGAATGGTATAACAGGTCTAATCGCACCACCTGGGTCGGGTAAGACTTTCACTTATCTTAAAATGGCTGCACAACAACAAGAACTAGATGAGAAGAACCCATTCTATGAGTTAGTAGTCATTTGTAGTACTTCTGGTCAATTTGACCAAACCGTAAATTCGTTCAAAGATATTATAAAGAAGTCTAAGTTAGTATGTATAAAAGACTCTGAGTTGTTAGATTGGATAAAGAAGTACCAAAGAAGAGTTTTGAAGTACAATGCTATAAATGAGTATATAAATTCGAAGTTTAAAGACCCAAATGAGGAAATGCAGAGAATATTAGAGAAGAAACACTTCAGAAACAAACAGAAAGAGATAGAATACATTTCGAAGAAATTGCAATCTTACGATTGGAAGACTTACCCTCATAGATGTCTTCTTATCTTAGATGACTTTGCTTCTCATCCTTTGTTAAAGAACAGAGAACAAGACATGTGTCGAATTCTTAAGAAGCTCAGACACTTTAACATCTCAGTTGTCATTTGTGTACAGACAGCCAAGAGTTTAAGTAAGGATGTAAAGAGAATACTTACTGATATCATACTTTTCCCTGGATTGTCCGAAGACGATTTCATGGAACTTATGAAAGAGTCCATGGCAGGTAAGTTTGACAGACATGAACTATGGGAGAAGTACAAAGTCATACAAGACCCTCATACTTCTTTCAGAATTCATATCTACGCAAACAAAGTTCAAATTGTAAAAAGTCAAGCTTGAAAAATGTAAGTGTTTGAGTCTTAGTCTGTTGTGGTGCTGGGGCTGTCGGTTCTTCTGGCTTTGGAATGGACTCGGTTGGTGGTACGTCGGACATTCGTTTGTGTCTTAACCGTCTTTGTTCTGAAACAATATAATATTGTACTGAATTTATACAACATTGTCTTGAAAAAGTACAATATTGTACTGAATTTATACAACATTGTCTTGAAAAAGTACAATATTGTCTTGAAAAAGTACAACATTGTTCTGAAAAAGTACAACATTGTTCTGAAAAAGTTCAAGACTTGTTCTGAAAAAGTACAGCTGTACTCAAATTTGAGAGACATTGTACTGAATTTATACAACATTGTTCTGAAAAAGTACAATATTGTACTGAATTTATACAACATTGTCTTGAAAAAGTACAATATTGTACTGAATTTATACAATATTGTCTTGAAAAAGTACAATATTGTCTTGAAAAAGTACAATATTGTCTTGAAAAAGTACAACATTGTCTTGAAAAAGTACAACATTGTACTGAATTTATACAACATTGTCTTGAAAAAGTACAACATTGTTCTGAAAAAGTACAACATTGTCTTGAAAAAGTACAATATTGTCTTGAAAAAGTACAACATTGTTCTGAAAAAGTACAACATTGTTCTGAAAAAGTACAACATTGTTCTGAAAAAGTACAATATTGTCTTGAAAAAGTACAACATTGTTCTGAAAAAGTACAACATTGTTCTGAAAAAGTACAACATTGTTCTGAAAAAGTTCAAGACTTGTTCTGAAAAAGTACAGCTGTACTCAAATTTGAGAGACATTGTACTGAATTTATACAACATTGTTCTGAAAAAGTACAATATTGTACTGAATTTATACAACATTGTCTTGAAAAAGTACAATATTGTACTGAATTTATACAACATTGTCTTGAAAAAGTACAATATTGTACTGACTCAGTATGGAGCTTGACCCCTTAGACGAAGCAATTTATCTAATTGAAATTAACGAGCTTGTTAAAGACTTCCTCAGGCAGAATGTAAAAGGCAAGCTTGAAAAATAAATGGTTCATCTACTCTACTTGTTTGAAGTTGTCAAAATACTCTGTTATTTTTTCCTTTAACAATGGTAAATCTTCTTTGAATGTAAGTATTGTACAACCTTTCATATCATAGTGTGTTTGAGGTAACGTATCTTGAACTATTTGTTTCACATCTTCATTCGGAGTCATTGAAATCGGTAAGTTTTCGCGATAGAACCAATTTCTGTCAGATTTGTAAATCTTAGCAAGGTCGTAAAAGC